TCATAATGAAACCAAGAAAAAATCCAACTTTTTTATGCCTTTTAAGAATGACCCAGAAACATATTAAATGGGTTAGTTGAGTTTTTAGAGTAATGTCAGCTGAAACTCATCCATTTTACTATGTTATGATCAATACAAAGGAAAATTTAAACAATTTGGAACATTGCCAGGAGCAGGGACACAAAGGCGGGGTTTTTCATACATGAATTTACGTGGTTTTCATTCGCTTCTATCTTGCAAGACCCATTCCGGATTTGTTTGCAACTTATATCGGTTTTAACTATGGGGTATGTTTTATATCAAAACAAAAATATTAAGCTTGGCAAATGACTATTATATGTTAATTTATGTCTTGGAAGAATAGTGATTTTAGTCCCAAATTGACACATTTTGATTTTGATTTTAATTAAATTCTAAACACAATTGGTACTAAAATGGCTCATAAAATCATTCGAACAAGTAAAATCAATTTGTCTGAAAAATGAAATAAGACGTATTTGTACTGCAAGTCCAAAAATCAATAAATTGTCTGAAACCAGGGAGTCCATCTTGTATGCTCTTCCATTGACTTATCTCCCTTGGGTAAGATCTCAAACATGTCAGCTCCCAGTGATGGTTTGGCAGACAAATGTTTACAGTGAAGTTTGTGACTTTAATAATCTAGGATGAGCATTTGGGCTATCCCAGCCTTACACATCTACATATTACAAACTATTTAAGATATCTGAATGCACTAAAGACCAAAATAGCATTTCCAAAAAAAATATTTACTGCCAAGAAATTTGACAATCATGACAATAATTTAGTGAATAAACATGATAAATATTGATTGGAAAAATAAGTCCATGAACAGCAAAAAGTGTTTTTAGATTTCAACGAGCAAAACAAAAGTATTTTTAATCATTCTTCGTAAAAAAAAAAGTGAGTGAGTGGAACCACCTTGCTCGCACCAAAATTGAGATTGAGAGTGTCAAAACTGCTCTGGCGCACCATCAATAAATCAACGACACTCTCTCTACCATGGTATTGAAACCAGCATTGGTAACCAAACATATTCATACAGATACAGACTACCATTCATCTACATTTAGGAAGTCTGAATAATACTGAAAACTATGGTGTAAAATTTCCAACAGGACTCCTTATTTTATATAAGACAAGGAGTGGTTTATTTTCCCATGGTTGTTACATCATCTTGTCTTTGAATATGCTCGAAGTACAGGGACTTTTATGGAATTCATTGACATGATAGTCAAGCAAGATGTCAACATCTCGTCCAACCCTCTTCCAGCAAAGCCAAAGCTGACTAATGATCTTCACCTTTTCAAAACAGGCTGTATACAGGACGAGTTATTCCAGTAGGAACAGGTACAAATCTTACAATAAATTTTCATTTGTTCCATATAGGCAATCTGAAATTAGGGGACCAACAGTTGATACATTAGCTAGATTAAAAAAAAGGGGGGGGGGGGGGTGTTGAAGGGGCATGTGAATATTCTTTTACACCTGACCTGTTTCTAAGACATCTTATTTATTTCCTATGGCAATGTGCAAGCAAATAATATATATGCGTATATACATTGTTCTGTCTTGGGACCATTTGATTAAAAAAACAAGAGGGAGGGTTAGAATGGTCAAAATATTTATGTCCTTATCAGCTTAGGACAGAATTTTAATTTTCAAGCTATTAACCAGGGTACAATATATATTTATTTTCTGCTTTAAAAAATCAATTTATAGACCAGAATCATGATAATAATCAAAATCTATTTCAACATATTCAACGTTTAGCAGGTCAGGTTTTTATTCTCGTCCCCTAAGTTATATTTTCAGTTCTTACTGGAAGTTGTTCAGCTCTTTGTCTACTAAAAAAACTTTTATCTCGTGGAAAAGCCTCCTACAAATACATGTTTTACATACAACATACTGTACATGTAACACTAGACAACTTTATCCAGAGAATAATATTTTTTTAATGAACTAATAGGCCATGGAGACTAAAAAAATCAAAAGCATTGCAAACTTTTGTAAAGTTCAATTTTAGAACCCTACATGTACATGTATGTAGATTACTTATAGAGCCCTTTTTAAAAGAAAAAAAACATACATTTAAACTACATGCACAGTGATGCTACACTACCCTACATTTCCTGTCTGATAAATTTTATTTCATGTAAAACAAAATTGAAGAATTATTTTATAGTTTAACACTTTTTATTTGTAGGGCTATATATATGCAAGCAATGCTCAATTAAGATGCATTTTTGTAAAAGTGACAATAGCCAGGTCAAACTAAATACATGTATAGAAGAAGATATTGGTAAGTTATTATTAACTTATATATTAATTTAACTGTTTGTATAACATGGTAATCATACAAAGTATATGTAATCACTTATATAATAACATAATTATACAATTACATGTTATACATTTGTACATCAGTTTTCTTAAACAGGTCTTTGTTAACTTGGTTTTCCCATTGAAAAATCACTTTGCTAATTTTAATTTGTAGTACTATATTGGGCGGCTCCTATAGTTTCCATTCAATAACTAACTGACTTATGAATTGTTCATACATTCCATTTCAATTATTTTATTGAAAAATATTTATTAATACGTATTACTTTTACTGTTAAGTCTGTTTTTTGTGATATCCATTTTACGTGACTCTGTATTTATGTATCCCGTCATACTTTGAATGACAAAATTATTTTATGTCTACCTGTGCGAATTTCAAACCCGCGATTTTACGCCAGTACTTAAAACCTTCCATCCTTTATGGGTGGATTTTACATAGATATATAAAATCGTATAATATAAGCAAAATGAGGATGTTAAATTTGATGTATGCCTTTTTGTGCTTCTTCGTTACATTTGTTTGTTTTTATAGTTATTAAGATGATAACACAATGTTGACTGCTGTACCCCTATTTTTGACAATTTTACCTATTGTGTCTGTTTGTTTTGTTCACGCACCGTTGTCAATATAATGGAATTTGATGCGACTGTCATACAAGTGAGAGGTTTATTATCTAGCTATAAAACCAGGTTCAATCCACCATTTTCTACATAAGAAAATGCCTGTACCAAGTCAGGAATATGACAGTTGTTTTCCATTCGTTTGATGTGTTTGAACTTTTGATTTTGCCATTTGATTGGGGACTTTCCTTTTTGAATTTTCCTCGGAGTTCAGTATTTTTGTGATTTTACTTTTTCAAAATAAAAGGGGGAGATTTTTATTGGTACTTTTGAAGATATTTCATCTGTTCGATTAATTGATTGGTTGTTGGTAATGCTAATGTCCAATGGCAAATAGTTCATGCATGTTTAGGACAAGAACAAATTAAAATAAATACATTATTTGGGTTCTTAATATGCTAAATCTAACAATGTATTTTAATAATTTAAGATGTTGCAATTGGGCCCCATTTTAAATTGGTTCACATTGATTTCAAAATGGTCCAAAATTTTTTTTCTTATTTCTACATAACTTGAATTCTTGAGGTTCTTTTGATATACAAAATGCAAATGTTTTATATTTAGATTTTTAATTTTGGTCCAGTTTTCAAATTTGTCCACATTTTAAAGTCCAAAGGGTCCAAATTTTAACTTAGTTTAATTTTAACAAACCTTTTCAATTTTGTTGAGTTTGATTTTAAAGAATATTGATATTTAGCTGTACTTTGACACAGAGAACAGATATAAAGATGGCCACTATTTCAAAGATTGTCACTAAAAGCGGTCAAATTATCACCACTGTCTGTTTTCAATGTAAAATTATATTGAGAGGTAATTTGACATGCCAAACCAAATGGAGGCAATTTTTATTGTTGTAAAGATGTTAAGGGCTATTTGGACAGGCTTAAAAGGAGTGGATAATAACTATTCTGCAAAAATGATTTGGCTTTAGTTGGGAGAATTTTGTAACTGCATCCACTTACAGTAAAAGTTGTCAATTTTATTTCCTGTCAGTGGTATATATGAAATTAAAAAAAAAGGTGGTATGATTGCCAATGAGAACAAATGACATAGAAGTAAAGCTATAGGTCTTCATACGCCATATGGCCTTCAACAATGATCAAGACCTATACTGCATATATATTCAGCCATAAAAGGCACCTAAATAAGAAAATGAAAAAATATGAAAACTAACAGCCTGATTTATGTATGTATGTTTTGTGGTTTTCAGATCTAGACTCGCAGCTAACCTTTCTGTCAGTGTCAACAACAACTGAACTTTCACAGCAGTCAACATCAGATTGGGAGACTGATAATGCTTCTAACAGAAACAATTTCAACCAACCAAACAAGCAACAGAAACTTTCCAACTTTAAAACATCAGTTAAATCTTCCATGGGATGATGTCTAAAAAAATAACAGTTCATCATTTATAGAGATTTTAATGTTATGGCTTTTCTTTTACAAGAAAGTTAATGTACACTTGCTTTATAGTAAAACCTATAGCTGTTCAAGTATAAAAAAACACATTCAACTTTATTGAAATTTGAAGATTCATCTGACTTATTTTAATTCTGTTATCTCCGAGGATGTGATGTAGAGCATTATAGGTACAGTAATCTTAACAGCTATCCAATTTCATTCAAAATTCTTTATAAATTTTGCACTGGTATATCAGTAGGACAACCGGAAGCGCCTGAGTATTGATTTCGGTGCTCAGTGATACGGTTCACTAGACGACGTTGTCAACACGTAATGGCGGCCATTGTTTGACGTTGGATTTGGCATTCCACGCTGTAAAGATGCATTTATGACATTCTTGGATGCTAAAACTTAATGCCACACAACATGAAAGGTAAAGGATTATTTCAGATATACCGAGTTAACTATTTTCAAATAAGTGGGATCCCAAAAAATGATTTAAACGGCAAAAATAAAGTGTAAAATTATATGAAACATGAAAATTGAAATCCCATTTTTCATCATTTCCTTTGAAATCATATATTGAATACACTATTTACACCAACCTCTGGTGAATTATATTCGGATTTCGGTCTTAGGTATCCGTCCTTGTCTCCGGGAATATTATACCCACACAAGTTGTCAACATCCGTTTTCAAATTGTTCAAAGTGTTCTTCACAATCTCCCTGGAAAATATTCACGCTATCACTTCGTGCTCAGATAATAGAACATTGTAAACCTCTAACAGCAAATACGGACCAAAATTAAACAAATTTGAAAGCACGGATGATCACGTGTAATGCCGACTGTAAGTTCTCTAAAAGGGGGTAACTTCTCCCCCAAATACACCTGAATTTTGCTGACCGTCTCAAATTCAACTCAAAAGTCCATTATCAAATCAGAGACGGAATAAGGGGGGGGGGGGGGGTGGGCTGGGGGTCAGGGGGCCCGGGCCCCCCTTTTGTGGGAAAAATTTGGTTGATTATATAGGGAATCACTGACGCATGACTGGAGCAGGCCCCCTCTTATTAAAATTTCTGGATCTGCCACTGCAAATCATTAGAATGTAAGACATATTCACTTCAACTGTTGCCTATTTTATAGCTGGTCTAATACATGTATTAATAGATTCGTCCCATTTCATATACAATGCAGTGGCGGATCCAGAACCTTTTGTAAAGGGGGGGTGCACTGACTGACCTAAGGGGGGCCCGCTCCAGTCATGCTTCAGTGATTCCCTATATAATCAACCAAATTTTTCCCACAAAAGGGGGGGGGCAGCCCCCCCCCCCCCCCCCCCCCCTGGATCTGCCTAACTTTCATTATTACATTAACATATAATCATGATAATACAAAGGGAAATCAATCACAAGCACTTGTTTCTGTCAATGGGGGGTTCACTATCCACACACAACGGAAATTTTTATTTTTAGGTAGGAAGAATTTAAGGGGACATTATATTCATTTTCTTATTTTTTTGCTATTATGGCTTTAAGTTATTAATTTTTTTTCAATCTGTACACAATTGTTCTTTCCTTAAAGATCTTTTTATTGGACAGAATATTCATGTTCATCCTGTGTCAGCACTCTTGAACAATGTTTATTTTATGTTCAGTTATTACCATGCATGATTACATGGACATGTACCAGATCTTTCCCATAAAAAAATTAATTAAGATAGCCATCCTCTAAATCATATCTCTGAAATTATAAAAGAAATTTACACATTGAAATTAACCAATCACCCACCCATTTGAAAAGCTTGTACACATGCTGCTTTGCATTACATGAATCCCCAGAAACTAATTAATTTACAATTTCTTTATTCATGTTATATCTGACATGTTATATTCTTCCAATGATTATATACATAATCTAATTAGAAATGATAATCCATTAATAATATTACTTTCTCAAACTTCATTAATATTGTCAAATTCAAGGTGTCAATTTAGTGATAATACAGTCATGACAGTGGTGGTTCCAGGATTTAAATTAAAATAAAACTGGGTTGTGAGTGCCCTCAAAATGTATAAAATTTCAGCTTGCATTGTACAATGGACATGTTATGATCTTATGATGTTTATGCACGCTATTAAATATAAAAATGTTATCAAAAGGTTTGGTATGACATAAATTTGCTCCTTGTTAAACCTAAAAATTATTTTTCAAGACTTTTGAAAAGTTTTCTTTGAAACTTTTATGTACATGTATTGAGCAAAAATGCTGGGAGCATAATTATCTATAACACTTAATAAATACATATACATGTATTTTCTTGGTAATTTATTTGGCAAATGTGTATTCATGTGTTGATAATAACAATGCAAAGTTTAATTTTGCTTTGAATAATTTAGTATATATACATTAATAGTATTTGTATGTAAATTTGCTTTATATTTACAGGATGGAGAAAGATGTTCACTATGGATCAAAATTTCAAAACAGAGGACCTTTTTATTCAAACAAAAATACTTGTACATGTATGATATTCTGTACATACAACAAGAAAACAGTAATCAAATGGAATGTCCAGTGATGTTGAAAGCAAAATTATTTTTGTTAACAGAAAACAATAGGACTACAATATATTAAGGGTAAGTAATCCAAAATTGTCTGTTTAGGGTTACAAAAGTGGGTTATTGACAATGTGCTATGATTTCAATCCCCCAAATATGAAACAAAAACATAATATACATGGTATTTAAACTGTTTTCATAAGGAAACAGACTGAAAATATTCTGCATTTAACAGTCAGACATGAAAGTTGCCAATGGAATACATTGGGACTAGAACTTAAAATTTAAAGGATATAGGCCAAGGAATCATTCAGACTTTAAGGCCAAATGGTATACTTTTAATAGTTTAAAGATTTTATTCTATTATCTATGCTGTATAAATGTTAATATTGTTTCATCTAGATTTAAAACCTAATTTCAAGAATGAAGGGTACAGTAATTTAAAATTAATTTCAATGATTAAAAGCAATATAAGGGAAGTAACTTTTACAAGATGTGCATTATATCCTAATGAAGTATTTCAATGAATTTGTCCATTTTTTTCAGATAAGAGAATGACTTAAGCAGACTGTATTGGGGTCATAGATGGCCATAACAATGAAATACAATATATTATAATTATCATTCTTCATTACGTTTTGATTGAATTAACAAACTTAATTTAATAACAAAATATTTTCTTTTTTTCAGTACACAACACATCATGTCAGAAGAATAATTTTACTGGAGAATAAAAAATTTAATACCTGGAATCAGCAATTTACAAAATGTATATGAAACTTATTAAGGATGTTCGCTCCTCTTGTTTTTGAATTTTTGCCAGATATTCGGAATCCTCTGGTTTTATCCATGTAGTGCCATTACAAATTTTTGCCCACTAACCCCTAATTTTCTTTTCATAATTTGATTAAATATAGTTTTAAATACCATCTTTGAAAATCTTTTTAAATCCTTGTTATTTTTTCATACTTTTATGCAGAAAAAAGGTGCCAATGTTAAATGCATGAAAAATCTAGAGAGAATCATTTCCCGCCAAATTTTCAATGGCTTATATCTCGAAAACAAGCACACAGACCTTTCATTTTTATCTGCTTTTTTAGTTCCTTTATTTATATACTGTCAATTTATAACAGTCTTTTAAAAAGCTTATTATTTTGAAACAGAGTAGCGAACATCCTTAAGAGAGATATATTCATGTACAGAATGGTAACCCCACCAAATAACCCAGGTGGTTCAAGTGATTATTAGCAGACATTTTTGTTGAACTAATGCAGGATTAAATAAATGAAGCTTTAGCAGACTATGGGCTCCAAAGTGTAGTAAAAAGAGGATTTTTAAATATGTGAGACCCATCAACATTAAAATGCGCATAAGTGAAATGTTACAATATTTAGTAAAAAATTCAGATTATTGACTCAGTTGTTTTCATGAATTTTTTTATCAAAGCAATATCACTGTTATATAATTAATAAGATTCCATATGTTTTATTTATACTTTTGACAACTGAATATATCTTCCCTCTGGCCTCAAGTGCATGTTTCCCTTTTATTTTGTATGAGTGTAATTTACAGAAAGCTCACTTCGCTTTTGGCGAATTCAAGTTTTGCCTTTCCAGAATTATTGGACTTTATTCATGGAAAATTAAACATTTACCCATATGTTGTTGAAGAACTCAATTTTGCTTTAATACTTTTTCAAGAAATTGTATCACAAGGCTAGATTTGATCAAATAACCTCACTTTTGAATATTTATCACATATCACATACTTAAATAATCTAGTATGCATAGATTGATTTCCTTCACTTTTGCCCTGTTGTTGAGATTGAGTGAAATAATTTAATTATTTTATCCCTTTCAATTTGGGGTGGGGATCTGTGTCCCATTGGGACCGACATTCAACACTGCATAACTATATCCTATCACAAGTTATGATACAGCCAACCATATAACATAGCCCCTGCCACTGAAAGGAGAAAAGAGGTGCACAACATACAAAAAAATTATTTCATATGGCTAGCTAAATCATATCCTTGGAATATTTCATAGATTTTTAGCTCACCGTTCCTTCGGAACGGCGAGCTTTTGCCATCACTTGGCATCCATCGTCGTCCGTCTGGTGTAAACTATTTCAAACATCTTCTCCTCTGAAACTACTGAACCAATTCCAACCAAACCTAAGCTGAATGATGCTTAGGGTATCTAGAATAAAGTTTGTGTTTTATTTACTGTTTCGTCAAATAACATGGCCGCCATGGCTAAAAATAGAATATAGGGGTAAAATGCAATTTTTGGCTTATATCTCAAAAACCAAAGCATTTTGAGCAAATCTGACAGGGGTTAAAGTGTTCATTAGGTAAAGTTCTATCAGCCCTGAAATTTTCAGTTGAATCTGATAACCCATTGTTGGGTTGCTGCTACTAAATTGTTAATTTTAAGGAAATTTTGCAGTTTTTGGTTATTATGTTGAATATTATTAATGATAAAGATAAACTGTGCACAGCAAAAATGTTCAGCAAGGTAAGATCTACAAATAAGTTCATATGATCAAAATTGTCAATTGACCCCTTAAGGAGTTATTGCCCTTTAAGGACAATTTTACACAATTTGTTTATCATGTTTTAAAAAATCTTCTTCTCTGAAACGATTTCACCAATTCCAACCAAACGTAAGCTGAATGATTCTAAGGGTATCTAGAATAAAGTTTGTGTTTTATTTTCTGTTTCGTAAAAAAGCATGGCCGCCATGGCTTAAAATAGAACGTAGGGGTAAAATGCAATTTTTGGCTTATATCTGAAAAACCAAAGCATTTAGAGCTAATCTGATGCGAGGTAATAATGTTTCTTAGGCCAAGCTCTGTCAGCCCTGAAATTTTCAGATGAATCTAACAACCCATTGTAGGATTGCTGCCACTTAATTGGTAATTTTAAGGAAATTTTGCAGATTTTGGTTATTATCTTGAATATTATTAATGATAAAGATAAACTAAACAGCAAAAATGTTCAGCAAAGGTAAGATCTACAAATAAGTTCGTATGACCAAAATTGTTAATTGTCCCCTTTTGGAGTTATTGCCCTTTAAAATCAATTTTTCACAATTTATTCATTTAGTTTGCTTACTTTAAAAAATCTTCTTCTTTGAAACTGCTGAATCAATTTCAGCCAAACTTGGGCTGAATGAGTTTCAGAGTATCTAGTATAAATTTTGTATTTTATTTTCTTGTACGTCAAGAAACATAGCCACTATGGCTAAAATGAAACATACGGGTAAAATGCATTTCTTTGATTTTGAAGAAAATATGACAGATACAAAGAACATTAATTTTCAATGGAAGTTTTAAGCCATTCATTAATATATATTGAAAAGCAAAAATAATCATTGATGAAAGATTTAAGCAAAAAATTACAGGTGAGAGATTCAGGCTCTTGAGAGCCTCTTGTTTGTATGTGTAATTTTTTTTGTAAGTAGTTATTTATTAAAGGTACTACAGTTCCCTTTCAGTTTGCCTGCTTAAGACTTGATTACAGTTCCGACAATATAAAGATAAGAAGTTGGGGTATGATTGCCAATGAGACAACTCTCCACCAGATACCTTATGACGGAAAGGTTAATAAATATATGTATAGGTCTCTGACAGCCTTCATCAATGAGCAGAACCAATAACCCATAGTGAGCTACATGTATAAAAGGCCCCTAAATAACATGACACAATACAGGCTGAAAATGAATATTCTGCATCAGTGAGTATGCAAAAGTGAAAATATATTTAGAAAGAAAAGCATGTGTAGCAATGGATGCAAATAAAAAGTCAATACAGAAAAAAAATCCTACTACCTCACACGTTATGGCTTATGCAGTTTATTCACTAAATTGTCAACAAACTTTTACATATTTCATTCAACTTATTTACATTAAACCTGGGAACAGTATATCTGTCAATATATATATATATATATGTTCGTGATTAAACAAGACAAAATAAAAGAAAAGAACAGGGCGAAAAGAACAGGGCGAAAGGACCCAGAGCGAACAGACCAGGATTCCCTTCCCACCACCTAGCTAGAATAGCATATGGTTCTCCCCTTATGCATAGATATATTAATACTAGTCTAATAGTCATTATACATGTATACTGAGACTACTATAACAGTAATCTCAGATGTATATCAATGCCCTAAGAAACTGCACATTGAATTTTTAAAAAGTAAAGTCATGAAGAGTTTAAACCAACACTGCAAACCAGAAATTAAGAATCATGAGCCCCTAAAAATGACACATGCCTTTGACAAAAATACCCCCCCCCCCCCTTTCTTTTTTTCAAAAAAGAAACAAAACAAAACACATAACGATAACTGTATTAACGAAAGGAAACTTATGAAGAAAAAAAAAACGATAGCTTTTCTATGGCCTATTCAGGTTAGATGCTCATTACAAAGTCATTGGCCGTTAACATACTAACAATATTCACGAAATAAATATGGATCAACGAAGTCCGATATCAACAAATCAATCCCATGATGATGTAGGCCTATACATATGTAACTGTTAGTTTACCAAGCTCGGCCTGTTTTGGTATAACTTTGATATGAATTCAACATATCGCATGACTTCCTTGGCATTCAGATAAACAAAATTGCTACAAAGAAGTAACGAATCCAACTTTAAATGACATTTACGTTGACATTTTCGGCGCCGGAAATTGACAACGTTGGGCTATATACTGACACAACATCGGTTGAGGTAGATTCCGGCAATTCTGCTTCAAAAATCTCTAGCAGTTAGAATTTATTGATGTCTTCAAATATATTTTTTTATGTTTCAATACATTTTAGTGGATAATTATTTTTGAGAGAAGAATAGCTATCGCGTACTTCAGAAACAAGGTTTAGGGAGGACCACGCCCCCATTGTGGGAACATACAAAATAAAGATGACCGTTCTCCATTTCTACTCGATAGAAGTGCCTAATTTTTTCATAACATATACATTATGTACCAAGGATAATTATATGAAAGTATACAAAAAATCGAGGCGGAGATTTTTTAGAAACAGCTAATAATTTTAGCAGACCAATTGACGTAATAGAAAAATAGACGAAAATGGCGCCTTATTCAATTTCGAAAAAAATCTATTATTTTACAATTTATTGACACATATTGTCATTTTTAAAGGGGTTTAATATCTATTGATTCACTTTTCCATGAGAATTGAATGAATATTTACTTTAAAAACAGAAACTCTTCCAATTTCTAAACCTACCGACCATGCAAGAAAAAACCTATAAAAAATTGAGACCCCTACATTAAAATGGGAACAAATTTTTGCCCTGGCTTGAACACTCCTGTTCTTAACGAATTTCGATGCCAAAAACTAGCGAGAATATGATGTAAATTTTTTTAGAAAATCGAAGGATAGGTATTTTTTTGTTCCCATTTTTAATATAGCCATTTTATCCTACAGTGCAGAAAATCAATATCCGAAATTCTATGTTCAGATATAAAAAAATGAGATTTCCTTTTATTTTAATGTTCAAAAATGAAAATAATATGTAAATTCATATATTTTTCTCATATAGATTTGCTTACAATCAACAGTATTTATCGTCGGTACTTTGCCGCGAACGAACGAAAAAAAATACAAAAGCGCGCCATTTTTCAGTTGACGTCGGCCGACGCAAAATAGTCCAATTTTCGGCGTAGGACTACTGAGCGCCGCCGAATCACATTTTGGCCAAAAAGGCACATCCGGTTGTCCTACTGTATATAGACTAAGTAATTTGTTTTTCGTCTAGTTATGGGATTTTTTTTTAGAAGCATTTATGATTTTCATGTTTGTATTGACCACATTGCAGCAACATAGATATAGGTACCTGGCAAATCTTGCCTTGTTAGCATACTAGGCTCAAAGGGTCATAAAAAAATTTCCATCACTAAGTGTCTGTTAAAATCATCTGTTTACAGTTTTCACTTTTAAACCATCATCTTAATAACTTTAGAAGAAGTGTCATACATATATATATATGTATACAAAATTTTAAAACTTTTCAATATATATAAACATGATAAATGTTGTTTTCAATTTAGACTTTCTTATAATTTTTCGTTTGGGCTTGTATTATATTTGCCTTCGGGTTTATATGATCCGTTCATCCTATTTCGACTCTTTCAAAAATCAAGAGTCTATCCTAAATTGAGGTAAATTATATGGCCTTCCAAATACCGTTTCGATTCCTAACATCACTGAAGAGACATTAATTGTCGAAATCCGGATATGGTGTACAAATTTTTGCACCTCATGTTTGCGGTATACCATCTTTTCCGCAAGTTTATTGTTTTCTGTTTAGTAATTAATTAATTATAAGATCCATTTTGTTACATCTTGTGATCCGTTTATTTGGCAATCGCTAATGGCAGTCAGCAGGGTTTAAGAACATCAGTTGTTCGAACTGCTAGTCAAATGCGTTTTGTTAAAATATACTTTTTCAC